TTTGCCTTTTCCAGTTTCTAGAGGCCACCTGCATTTCTTGGCTTATGGCCCCTTCCTCCACCTTTGAAGCCAGAAACAGCAGGTTGAGTCCCTCTCACACTGCATCTGACTTTCCTCCAACACCTCCTTCTGACCCTCTCCTCTGCCTCCCTCTTCCACTTTTAAGGACCCTTGTGATTACATTGGGACCACCCGGATAATCCAGGATAAACTCCCTATTTTAATGTCAGCTGATTAGCAACCTGAATTGCATGTACAACATTAATTCCCCTTTGTCATGTAACCTAGCACATACACGGTCTCTGGGGATCAGGATGTGGGCATCTCTGGAGACCGTGGTGGGTCTTTCCTCCTTTCCTGAAACACCTCCCTCCCCTGATCTTTGGGTCACAGTCCTGGTTCCTTCCTGTCACAGCAGCCACACGTTCTCCACTTCCTTTGTTGGGTGCTTTCTTCATCCTCGCCACTAGTTGTGGGGTTGCCCCAGGGATCGACCCTAGGCCCTGACTCTTTCCAATCAAGAATTCCTCCCGAGGTGAGCTCAGCTGGGCCCTCTATCGTTAGAGGCCATCTATACATGGACCACTGCCCGGAGTAAATCTCTAGTCCGTATTTCTCCCCTGAAATCCAGACTTACCCACCCAGCGCTCCCAACGCTCTACAGTGCTTCTCTACTTGAATGCCTCGTAGGCATGTCAGACTCAGCGAGACCAAAACAGATTCTCGATTTCCTCTCGGAGACCTCTGCATATTAGCTAGCAGTATCTCTAATTATTCCATTTGCTCAGGCCAAAATTTTTGGTTTTGTCCTTGACTCCTTGCTTTCTCTCTCAAACCATGCCAATGCCAGCAAATCCCACTGGCTCTACCTTCAAAATATACCCAAACTCCAACAACTTCTCAGCAGTGCACTGTTAACCACCTGGTCCAGTTCACCTCCACCGTCCACCTGGTCTCCCACCTGCCTCCTAATAGGTTTTCTTGCTTACCCTTCTGCTGTCACCTATTCCTGCGCCTGCCACAGACATGCTTTGCAAAGATAAGTGAGAATGTGTCACTTTCCTGCTCAAAGCCCGTCGATGGTTCCTATCTTACTCAGAACAACACAGAGTCCTGGCCAGAAAGCACTTCCTACAGTCACGTCCTTGCCCCTCCCTGATTCCACGCAGGGCTCTCTGCTCAGTTGTCACCTCCTCAAAGCACCTTCCCTGCCCACCCTGTCTAGATGGTGCCCACCACCACCTCTCTCAGCCCACCTGGCCCACTGTGTGCACCTCCACAGCCCTGTCTACCAACTGCTCCCCATATACTAACACGACTACTTACTGTCTTTCTCCTGCTCTGAGAATCAGGTTCCTTAAGAGCAGGGACTGGTCTTGGCCTATCTTGTCCTGTTGTGTCCCAAGCAACTAGGACAGAGCCTGGCATAGCATCAGGAATGAACAGCTGCCTCAGAGGCCTGGTCTCCACTCAACCCTCACCACCTAGATTTGGGAAATGGCTGTAACTGCCTACTAGTTCACCCTCTGGAGGAGGGGGAGATACTAAGTTAACCTGGAGCATTCATGTTTGGGTTTCCAAAGCACTTTCTTGTAGAGCCTAGCCACTGAGGGCAAGTGCTTTGGGATGAACAGGTCTGGGTGGCCACCCTCACCCCACCTGGAACCACTAAGACCTCAATCTTCACATCTGTAAAGTGGGGATAGTATATTCTCTTCATAAGGGGGTTCTAAAGGATTAAACCAGATAATACACATAAAGCATTTAGGATAGTGCCCAGCACATGGTAAAGACTCAGGACAGATAACTACTATTGTTTTCATTATTGCTATTGTTACTGCATATTACGATGTATTGCTGTATGTTACTGTAACTATTATTACTAGCACTGTGATTACTGTATCATTACTATTATCACTGTCATCTCTGTGATAATACTAACAGGTAACTATAAAAATCGGATGAGGAAAGTGACACTCAGAGTTGGGCTGTCCATCAGCCTTAGGAGTGCAGGACTTGCACCGTATACTCTATTTACACTATATTTTCCATATTTACACTACGTTCACTATATCACACTATATTTACTGCTATATCCCCAGGAGCTGGCACAGAAACATCAAAGGTACTCAAATACAAGTTCAGGACTGAAATGCCCAAGTGTCCACAGCTAGTAACTGGCAGGGCTGAGACTAGAACTCATGTTTCCAGGCTCCCACCCCAGTTTTCTATCCTCCGCTACTGCCGCGCCTCCCCCTACCAAGCTCTGTTACTTCTTATTCATCCACTCTACAAGTGTTTTCGGTCATCTGCTATGTACTATTTTGAAAACAGGGATAATCACCAAACAAGACACAAAAAATGTCATCCTCTCAAGACACTATTTAGGAAAATTAGAAACAAAAAAATAATATACTATACATAATATACTGCAAACAAAATAGTAATACACCATAAATAGTATGTTAGAAAGTGGTAAGAGCAGCGGAGAGAAGTAAAGACGGGAAGTGGAACAGAGAGTAATGGGGGTTGCAATCTTAAATAGAGTGATGTGGAAGGTGACACAGCAGTGAATGCCTGAAGGAGGTGAGGGAGGGGACATGGGGACAGCTCGTGGAGGAGCACTGGGGCAGAGGGAAGAGCATGTGCACATGCCCTGAGGTGCGACATGCCTAGACTGTTCATGGAGCAGCAAGGTGCCCGACATAGTGAGTGACAGGAACAGATACAGGGGGTCAGAGTGGTAATGGGGCAATGGAGTGACTTTTAGGTCACATGGGAAACTTTGGTTTCTGCTCTGAGTACAAAGGGAAGCCACTGGCGGGCTACCCCATGGGGAGTGGCATTATGTGGCTGTTTTAAATGGGACACTCCAGCTGCTCTGCTGAGAACAGAGAAGGTAGACAAGGGTGGAAGTGGGGTGTTTGTCAGGAGGCTCCGCGATGGTCCAAGAGAGAGGATGGGAACTTGGACTGAGATGGTGGTTGTAAAGAGAGTGAAAACTGTTGATTCTGAATATTTTTGAAAACAGAACCCAAGGGATTTGCTGACCGATTGGATGTAGAGTGTAGAGAAAGAAAGGAGGCTAGGACAGTGCCAAGGCTTTGGGGCCCAGCAAGAGGAGAGAGAGAGGTGCCACCAGCAGCAAAGGAGGAGAGGAGCAGGTTTTAGCCTCTGTGTTGCACGCGTGTGTTCTGGGTGACCTCAGGGTGACGTCAGGTAGGCAGGAGCATCTACACTGGAGCTCAGGGGAAATCTTAGCTGTAGATCGAACTTTAGGAGCTGTTAGTGGATAGATCAGCATGGGTATGAGGGTCAGTAGAGAAGAGAGCTGAGCACTGAGCTCTGGGGTGCTCCAGCCAGTAAAGGTCAAGGGGAAGCAGAGACATCCCCAAAGAAACCATCCTTCCTGACCAAGCTCTCAGAAGTATTTGAGAGCGGGTTCCCTCACCTTGGAATTCCAAGGCTGCTATTTTGAAGCTATCATAAGTTTACAATGTATCACATAATGTATCATATAGTATCTGGCTGATTTTTAGTTTTGTTTTCTATAAATTCACACAACCTGGGACACACTTGATCCATTGAACTTGGCATCACAACCAACTTGAGTTACTGTTGTTTGGTATTTCAAGTAAAAGAACAACGAAATGATACTATTAGCATAATCAAGTGATGAAAATGATGACAGGACCCCATTCTGAAACACATGTTTATCTTTCAAAGGGGCAGGTGGTTTATCTCTAAGTCAGACAGGGCACCGGACAGGACTTGCTGTAACAGTGATTCCACACTTGGTCTCAAGACTCTTTCACATGCTTATCAATTACTGAAGACTCCAAAAAGCTTTTGTTTGTGCAGATTATATTTATCAATATTGACTGTATTTAAATTAAAAGTGAGAATTTTTTAAATGTCTACGAATTCATTTTATAAAGAAATGATCGTTTTATTGCCTTAACATAAATGGAATATTTTATGAAAAATAACTACATTTTCCAAAATAAAAAAATAGTGAGAAGAATGGCATTATTTGACACATTTGCCAATCTCATCTCTGTCTGATAATAGAAGAAGCTGGATTCACAAATCTGCTTCTACATTAAATCTGGTGCAGTATCACGTGTCCTGTCTTGTCTGCAAAACTCCACTGGACACCTGTGAGAAAAGCAGGGTGGGAAAGGTAAGTAATGCCTCAGCATTACTATGAAAACGGCTCTAACTCTGTGGCCCTTGCAATGATTCAGTGACCCCAAAGGTTCCTAGGCCCCACTTTGAGACCCATGGGGGAATAGGAGGCGTTCTCACTGAGCATCAAACAAAGAAGCGAAAGCAGGCAAAACCTGCCCCACTGGCACCCACAGCCACATAGCGAGGGAGACAGACAGGTAACCCAAACAATGCATAAATGTTCCCACCAAGAGATATCCCCACGTCATGGGGCCACAGACCCACATGTGGAACATGCCAAACCCCTCGCACCTGAGGGCCGCATCCAGGACATTCGGTCCACCTGGGGTGTTCTCACCCCACTCTTTCCCTGGCTAAACCTGCTCATCCTTCAAGTCTCAATTAAATTACCTTCCTCTGACCTCCCAAACTAAACAACCGTCCTCCCCTAAACCCCCTGCATGGCTCCCCATCATTCTCCTCCCAGCACTTAATTGACGTGCGCCATCACGCATTTGTCTCCCCAGCCCCTGCACACAGCATGGTACTTAGCAAAGGTGCAATAAATATATATATTGAATAAATGAAAGAAAGAATGAACGGAGGGAGACCCGAGTTAAGTCTTCAGATAACCACAATAGGAACAAGTGCCATCAGGAATTGCACTACACCTGCAGATGGACAAGTTGAGGTCCTGAAGGGCTGTGACCTGCCCCAGGTACCATGGGAGTGGCCATGGCAGGGACGCCCAAGGCCCAAGTTCTTTCCTGTAGGATTGTCTGAGACAGGCCCAGAGTGATGAAGAAGGGTTGGCCCCATGGAGAGCCGGGATGGGCGTGGGCAAGGCCAGGACCCAGGCAAGGCACCAAGGGCGCCTGGACACAGGTGCTCAGAGTGAGGTACCCTAGGCTCACCCTGGTCCTGGAAGGCCTCAGGCTTTTCCCAGTGGGCACTGTCCCTACCTCCTGGCAGGGACCACCCTCAAAACCACTGCTTTCTACAGAGGCAAAGGTCTGCCAGGATATTCCGGCACTGGCTTCTCAGAGGGGAGAGCAGATGTAAAGTAGATAAGGCCAGGTGAGCAGGCTGTGAACCTGAATGTGAGAGACTGGGGCAGGGCTCCCCAAACCTTAGTCTTGTCATCTGCCCACTTCACAGAGTAGGTGCAAGTGAAAGGACCATGTGAAGATGTTCTGTCATTGGACTTCTTAAAGGTCAGTACATTGATACAGTATTTTTCTAGTGAGAACCTAAGAAAACACATGAAAAAAAGTGAACAGAACCCCTTCAAGAGACTGAAACATCCGTGGCACGTGCAGCCAGTGTCCTGGGGTCTGCCGGTAGAGAACTCAGCAGGACAGGGCCAACGGGCTGAGGGAGAGCTGGGAGGACCACTGGCCAGGGCATTCCTGGGAATAGAAGCCTGGATTTGCTGCCAGGAGCAAAGGTGGGAGAGGGGAGAGTGCAAGCAGGAAAGGGAGGTGGTGGGATGTCTACCTTGGACAGACCACCCTAGAGGTCTGGGGGGAAATGGGTGGGAGACAGCACAAATTAGGGGTTGGGGGAAGACCCAGGGGAAACAGTCACTAAGAGCCAGAGGCAAGGTGGTGGGGCCTGAACCCAGAGGAGGCAGTGGGGAGGCGAAGAGGCAGACATCAGAGCCAATTAAAAGGAAAAGGTAGGAGGACTGGTGGCCAGCTTTGGGGGGCGGGGGGAAATCTAGGGTGGCAGTCAGGGCTCTGTGCCTTTCCAACTTCGGGACTACAGAGGGAGGGCCAGAGTGAAGTGGCAAGTGGCTAAACTCACCAGCCGTGACAGTGCAGTCACGTAAAAACCAGTCAATCCCACCAACCACGACAGTGCAGTCCCAACTCTCCTTTCTACACCCGTCCAGCGCCTGCCTGTGCCACACGCTCTGCATACCTTAACTCATATCGACCCCTGGGGGAGACTTTGCAATGGCCCCGTTTTACAGATCAGGAAACGGAGGCACCGAAGTCAAGTGACCTGCTCTAGGTCACAGACCTCGTAGGATGCGGGGTGGGATACGACCCCGGGCCGCTGGCAAAGTAGCCACACACCCGTTGTCTCCACCTTTCTTCAAAGTTTTCCGGCCACAAGCGGCATGCACCTAAGCGACAGCGACGCATCCTACTGGGATCCTGCCCTCCGGTCCTGAGTCCTTGCCCAACACGAAGGGGCCTGCCCACCGCCGGTGTGGACGGAGCCCCGCCGCCCGCGCCACCCAGAGCCCGGGGACCGGCCCCCCTTACCTGCGCCGTCCCCTGG